TAGGACTGGGGTGTAGTCCCAAATCACTCCTGATGACAGGAATTATGTGGGGCACCTGTTCCTTGTGTATCTTCAGAGACCCCTTCCCTGTGGATTTGAACTTCCAGTCTGAGGTGGGACCCAGAGTCCTACCTACTGATTCACACCATCAAGGACACTACAAAGCCTCAGTCTAGGTCAGTGGGTCTCATGGTTGAGTGGGTTATCAGCCCCAGGTGGAGGGTATGCAAAAACACATGGCTGGGCCCAGCTCCAGGGTTTTGTAGGGGAGGGGTTGGCCTGGGGATTTGCATTTCTAACAAGTTCCCAGGTGTACCCACTGTAGTTGTTTCTGGAAACACTGTGAACACACCAGTCTAGTGATGGGATTGCGAAAGGTTTAGTGCTAGGAAGAGCAGAGCCACATGGCAGTGATGCCAGGACGGGTATGCCACAGGCTAGCGTTAGATGAGACCTCCAGTTCTGGCTGAGATGTGAGGAGCTAGGGCAAGTGGGGATGGTGAAATACATACTAAGCTCATCATTTATTCAGTAAGTAGTCATTGCATATCCACTGAGCACCAGGCAGGTGGGATGCAGCCATGCCCTTGTGCAGCTTACCACAGGCTACACCAGCTGTCTGAAACTGGGCCTCCATGGTTTGAATGTGTTCCCCCAAGGTTGGGTGTTGAAACTTAATCCTCAATAAAACAGTGTGGGAGGTGGTGCCTAATGAGAGGCATTTGGGTCATGAGAACCTCACCCCTCATGAATGGCCTGGCCCAGCTCCAGTTGTTGTGGGCATATGAGGAGTGAAACAGCAGATAGAAGATATCTCTCTCTCTCTCCCCCCCCCCTCCTCTTCCCCTTCCCTCCCCTCCCCTCCCTAATTCTGCCTTTCAAATAAAATAAATAAAATTCTTAAAAAAGACAGGGACAGAGAGATATAAAAGTTCTCCCGAGCACACACTGCAGCTATGAAGTGCCATGGCAACCTCTTTGATTATTGCTTTTTCTTTATAAAAAAAAAGATTTACTCATTTAATTTGAAAGGCAGAACAACACACAGAGAGGAGCAGAGAGAGAGAGAGAGAGAGAGAGAGAGAGATCGATCTTCCATCTGCTGGTTCACCCCCTAGATGACTTCAACAGTAGGTCTGAGCAAAGCTGAATCCAGGAACTCCATCCTGGTCTCTCACATTGGTGGCAAGGGCCCAAATACTGGGCCGTCCTCTACTGCCTTCCCAGGTACGTTGGCAGGGAGCTGGATCCAAAGTAGAGCAGCTGGGACTTGAATCAGCACTCAGATATGGGCCGCTGGTGTCACAAACAGTGACTTCATCCCCTGCACCACAACACTGGTCCCAGATTTCCTTTTCGTCCCCTGAGAAAATCTGTCTTCCAAAACCACAGGCAATCTGAAACTCTGCTCTTAGAAAATTATGTCAGTAAAAATGAACTGTTCCAGCCTTGCCCAAAGGAACTCCATCACTGTGAACCATGGCAGTAGCCTTGATTCCCAGCCCAAACCTCACACAAGGGGTTTCCAGACTGCAGCATCGTACATCTTTCTTAACTTGGTAGCCACCAAAGAAATAGGAACTGTTATCTTGCAGCCCAGATCGAACACCGAGCCCTTGCCACAGAGCCCTGCTTTGGGCCTATCAAAACACCACATCATTTACATTTTGCTAAATTCTACCCCTCATCAAAATCTGTTAACTATCTTGTTTTTCTTCTGTTTCCTGTAACATCCACAGCTCACTTGGTGTGCTGTCTCCCTTACTGCAAGAAGCCAATTAACTTGACTTTGTCAGCCTACAAATTTGTCCCTGGTGGTCTTAGGCTGCCTGGCCTACAGTAGTGACTCCAGAGAATAAAGTGTTCAACTGCACGAAACATTGACAAACACTGCTGGCCTCTCAGAAACCTGAAGACCCCGAAATGGGGTATTAGGTGAACGAATGCATCCTCTTCTTCCTGCTGGCTGACTGCTTAGGAGCGAGGGATCCAAGGCTGTGAGCTTTTAAAAGACGGACCAAGGCTGGCACCGTGGCTCACTAGACTAATCCTCCGCCTGTGGCGCCGGCACCCCAGGTTCTAGTCCCGGTCAGGGCACTGGATTCTGTCCCGGTTGCTCCTCTTCCAGTCCAGCTCTCTGCTATGGCCCGGGAGTGCACTGGAGGATGGCCCAAGTGCTTGGGCCCTGCACCTGCATGGGAGACCAGGAGGAAGCACCTGGCTCCTGGCTTTGGATCGGCGCAGTGCACCAGCTGTAGCAGCCATTTGGGGGGCTGAACCAATGGAAGGAAGACCTTTCTCTCTCTCTCTCTACCTCTGCGTGTCCAAAAAAAAAAAAAAAAGAAAAAAAAAGATGGACCAAGCTAAAGCCCAGTACATCAAAAGTCATTTCCAGCTTTCTGCTTGCTGCACTATCATTTATCATGAGTCTAGGGCACTTTTCTAGGCTGTGTGGTGGGGATTTCAAATAGAAGACAGAGCCTAGCCCCAGAGGATCCAACAACCCAATGACAGCAACGAGGCTCCATGTGCGACCGTCACAGAGCACAGTGTGATGGAGAAGGTGGCACGAGGGCCTTATTGTGAAAGCAGGTGCAGCTCAGTGAGGAAAACACAGCCTTTGGGCTGCGGTCAGAATGTACTCGGAAGCCTCATCTGCCCCTGTGCAAACTCTATCAAGGTGTTTTCTTTCCCAAATCTGCCTGTTCAGCAGACTTTCTGAATCTATAAGACTAAGCCATCTCCTCAGAAAGATGTTAAACGGCGCTTTCTTCTGGCTATTTTTCTATCCCAAGCAAGCTACAAATCTGCATCAATTGTAGTAAGAAAGAGGGAAACTCCAGATGTGGTAAGCTGGAGCACCTCAGGGCACTTCATTAGGAATATTTAGACAGTTTTCCCCTTGTTATGAAAATTATGGCAATCTGTTCCCCTGTGTGAGTTTCCAATGAAATTCAGTACATGAAAGCGGTCTTTTTGGAGGGGCTGGAGAATGTGGTTGTTTTAATAAATCCTGATCAGCTGAGCTTCACTTTCACTCAGGAAAACCAATGCCCACCCCCACCCCCCACGCCTTCCAATCATCCTGACTTATTCCTGATGAGGCCGGGTGTTATAGCCAAGGGGATGCTCATGCAGAAGGAGCCGCCCTCTACTGTTGGGCCATTTGCCTCATGGCTTTGTCTTCTGGCCAGCCCTCTGTGCCCTCCACCCGAACACAGGGAGTGCATCCCAGTCCAGGAGCAGGGCTGTGGTGGATGGAGATGTCACTACATGGAAATCGGGGGTGAACAATTACCCCCGACTCTGCTCCTGATGATGGCAGCCAGAAAATGTGTGAGGTGAGAGTGAACAATAGAAATCGGTGCCCTGGAGTCTATGAAAAATGCCTGTTGGTAAACAGCCCTCAAGGCTTCCCTGACAGTAATTCCCCTTCTCGCCTGGCCACCTAGTTACAGGCAAATTCACATCTACACCAACGCCAGCTTCTCATGTTCCTACAGAGTTGTCCGCACCCTTCCTTTTGTCTCCCTAGCCTGCTTCCCTGTAGTTTGCAAAGTTCCTATACAAGGAGTCCTAAAGCTCTTAGAACTGAATCCGACAACGAAGCTGCTGAGAGGAACCCCAGGGCTTTCTCTAGTACAATCTCTTGACTTGCAGACAATGAGGGAGACCAGAGAAACCAAAATGTCTGCCCAAGGTCACAGGGCTAACTAATAACAGAAGTGGTCCTCATGACTTGCAACTAAACGCTCCGCCCAACCCTGGTCAAATCACTTTTCGTCAGGAACCCATCCCCTCACCATGATGCTTATAGGACTGAACGAGGTATGGGCTAGAGCCAGAATTTGCTTAGAGCTGTGCCCTTTCTTGGCCCCAGGAAGCCCATCTTAGCCCCCAGAATTATGCAAAAACCACGTTGTCCAATGAAGTCACCACCAGGCACACGTGGCTATGGAGCACTGGAAATGTGGCTACTCTGCATTGCGTATGACATATGTATAAATATACACAGGACTGTGAAGACTTTTCATGAGGACACAAGCAAGTATCTCATTTAATAATCTTATATAGATTACATGTTGAATCATAATATCTGGATATAATGAGCTAAAATACATTAAAATGAAGTTCAACTCTTTCTTTTTTAAATGTAGTTTCTAGAAAACGGAACACTACTCATGTTGCTCAAATGACATTTCTGTTGGCAAGCACTGTTCTGAAACCCTGATAGCCATCTCCATCCACTCAATCCTTCCTAAAGGACTTGAGTCTCCTGCATGCACACATTATAGAGGTTCAAGCACAGATGTGTTGAGGAGGCCAGTGAGAAGTCAAGGGTGGCTAGTGCTGGCTGAGTGCTTAGGTATCTCTGACTTGAAGGTCCATGGATCCCTAAAGAACTTAGATTCTCTAGAATCTTTCTGCTACCCAAACTACCCCAAGTTACTCTCTAAATATGGATAAGGCCTAGCTCTGTATCAAATGGGCAGGATATATGGTATGTGTGTGTATACATATATACACACATATACATATATATGTATATATACAATGTGTGTGTGTGTGTGTAAATATATATATAGGCTCAGTTACTAGGACACATTGGCTTCTATCTGCCTATCCACCTGCCCATATTTCTATCCTTCTGACACTCCAACTTTTTATCCCTTCTATCTATCTATCTATACACACATATATATACAAATATGTGTATATATACATATATATAAACACACATATATGTGTATATATGTATATGTATGTGTGTGTGTATACACGCAAATAGGAAGAAATAATTGGAAAGAACCATTTTACATAAAAAAATTGAGAATTCTATATCTAAGTTGGCCCATCCTAATGGTAAGGATATAATGAAATATTTGTGTGCATTTTTATGATATGTTTGAAAAAGCTGTCAAGATTATAGAAAAGCATTTCAGTGACTGGAAAACCCTTAACTGTTTTCCTCTGTAAAATGGATCAATCAGGAAACTCACTCTTTGTCCTGCTGTCCATTTCAGTTTTCGAGGAGTCTGGAGTTGCTGCAGTTGGAGGTAACTTCTTCCCGATAGTCTGGTGAGGAGAAAAGATAATTTTACTTATCAGGATGATTCTCTCCATGAAGCAAAGGACTAAAATCAAGATCGTAACAATGAAAATGCTCAAAATTGGTTCTAAAAGCCACCTACTGCTCTGGGTATTGGATGCTGCCCTTTAATGGATGTGGCCTTTAATGACAAACGAGGGGACACTCAATAACAAGAGCTTTTTCCTTATAGGCACTCAGTACCTTTCATTCTCATTCCTCCTTGATGCTCATTCAAAGGCTATTCTTAGATGAGAAAACCATTTTATTTCCTTCAATTTATGAGAAGCTGATGAAGTCTATGGAGGTACAACACCTGGCTCAACGGAACCACTTAAAAGTAACTGCAGAGTGGAAGATGGAAGTGAGAGGGAAGGGTCAAGGGCAGGAAGGGACAAAAGGTTGGAGTGTCAGAAGGATGGGCAGGTGGACAGGCAGATAGAAGCCAAGGTGTCCATGGTAACTGGGCCTGTGATCCCCTCCTCCCCGCACCACCAAATCTAAGATTCCACCTCACGGGGTGTGAGCAAATGCCCTCATATCTCCCAGGACAGGTCTACCTGCCCCTGTGAAATGAACACAGTTCCCTTTCTACAAGTCTTTTAAACAATCCTCCAGGGCTTTGAAAAAGTCCAATGCTCAAGACGCGACATGCCTATTAACTAGTTGAAAATAGATTATGAATTTTTTAACTTGAAGTGAATTTTTTAACTTGAAGTGAATTTTATCTTCCATCATTTACGGACTGTCCACAAAGAAGACTGGATATTGTCTCTGCCTCAAGGTACTCCTGAAAACAAAGGCAACTCAGCAGCTCTAAAGCAAAATAAACAAACACATGAGCCAGCCCAATGGTTCCAAAGGTTCCATCTGCCCCCACTGTTCTCCTCTGTCACCACACACGTGGGACTGGGATAGACGCTGGAGGAAAATGTCTAATGACACCAAGCCAAGATCCATCACAACCAAGTAGCCAGGTAAATTAACTCCCCTGACAAGCAAGGGTTTTTAGCCACTGGGAAAGCAAGCATCTCTGCCTCTTGAGCACACGAAGAGGAACGAACTGCGTGATTCCAACACCAGCATGGCAGGGGGTGGTGCTTGGCCTAGCAGTTAAGCTGTCCATGTCCCACATCAGAACGCCTGGGTTTGAGTCTCAGCTGCACTCCCAACTCCAGCTTACGGCGCAGGCAGCAGTGATGACCCAAATGGCTGGGCCCCTGACAGCCATGTGGGAGATGTGCATTGAATTGCCTGCTCCCAGCTTTGGCCTGGCCCTGGTCCAGAACCAGCGTTTACGGGCATCTGAGGAATGAACCAGCAGATGGGAGAACTCTTCCTTGGTTAGTTTGTGTGTGTGTGTCTCTCTCTGCCTCTCAGATTAAAAAAAAAACAAAGTCAAAGTGTTAGTTTTGTTGAAATAAAATGGATTGTCCACAGTTTTTAATTTGAGAAAATTCTTCATGGTTCAAACGTTGAAACTAACATTAAATAGGAATAAATCACAGAAAGAGGATCAGATAAATCAAATCTTCAGCCTGTCATGAATCTTTAAAAACATTTGTGACAGAAAGCCTTTACATTTTACACAGTGACATTTTTATTTAGTGCTGTAGGGCTTTCTATATTGGATAAAAAATGAAACCCCAATTAATATGCCACCCCTCAGCTGCTGCTACAAGTACTCAAACTAATAATATTTTATGATCCCAGGGAAACATCAGAGGGAAAAAGCTCGCTGTCGTTCTGCCATAAGGTCAAACGATGAAAAACTCATCTTAGGAGAATCTTGAAAAACGAGGCCTCGACAGTAAAAATGGAAGCTCTCGAAACATCGCTCCGTGCATGTGTCTGCTCACACTTCCAGCAGCACCCCCGACAAGCTCTTTCTCTTTCCCTTTTGGGGACCAGAGTAAGGTATCACCAGTGAGAACACAGTAGCAAGAAGAAAACAACCAACCAGGAGCTGGGCTATCCCTGACAGTGGAAGGAGCAAATCAGGAAATGCAATAGGAAATACTATTCCCAGTCCTGACTTGGCTTGCTTTCCTGGAGGAGGAAAAAACAACAACAACAAAAAAAAACCAAAAAACCACGAGCCCTAGAGTGGTTTACAGAGACCTTTACAGAGACTTTTGCAGGCCGTGTCTTCTTACAACTTCCCCTTCTTTGGGGAAGTACTGCTCTTCCCCTCTGAGGTCCTGGGCTACCAGAACACCCAAGCAAACAGACATCAAGAAAGACAAGCAGTTCAGTACACTTATTTCAGTATACAAAGGCATGAAAACACAAAGCTTACTCTGCTTTTTTCTCCTCACTACTTCTGAAAACACAGCACACTGGCGTCTTTGAAGGTCCCAGCGACAGGAGTGATGCTGAAGCTGATCTTTTGCTGGGATTACTGGACTTTAAATCCTCCTCTCTCCTTCGCAGGCCATGATTCAAACTCTAGAGAAGGGCAGGTCCTTCCCCTTTCAGAGTGGTCTCGCAGGTGTTCTAAGGATGGGAACTGTCCTCTCTCTATATATAGGACCTAGGCCCAGAGAAGTGTGGGCCTAGACCAGGGGCACCTGAGAACCTGTTAGTAAAACAGATTCCCAGGCCCCACCCCAGACTGTCTCAATCAGAAACTCTGGGGATGGTGCCCAGCAGTCTCGGTGGGGACACACCCTCCATGGAATTCTGATGCATGCTCAAGTTTAGAAACCACCAACTTAGATGTAGGAGAGATTCCATTAGTATTAGTCAAATGGCTTTTCCTAGGTTCAAAACTCAGGGGTGTATTCTCATATCTACACAAATTATAAAATACTATGTCCACTCTTCTTCCTCTCTTCTCTCTCCTTTTCCACCAAATGCCTCCTACTGTCTCTACTCTCACTGGCATAAGAACTTGACATTGCTACTAATCAAGCCATTTAAGAGAGGATCTTAAGTTTAGTAGAGCAGACAATGGGACAAAATCACTGAGAATAAAACAGGAGAGTACAGTTAGTGAGCCCCTTTAGCAAAGGAGACTTGCAGGAGGGCGGGGGTGGACAGATTGAAGAAGGGGGGAGAGGGAAGGGAGGAAGGAGGGTGCGAGGCTTGTAGTGGCTACAGAAGAGCATACAGGCTCTCTACGTGTGGTTTCCTCAGCACAACACTGACTTTCTCGCCCTCCTAGGTGCCGTGAGGAAGGTGGCTTATCCAGGACAAGCACGAGCCCGGCATTCGGGCTGAGTGGACACTGCTCAGGAGCCGGCCCATCTGCCCCGAGAGACCTGCAAGCAAGCCCCTTGCACCACATGCCTAGAGAAGGCAGTCTCAGGTTCTGCTCCCTGGCTCGGCTCCGTGTTTCCTCCTCCCTCCTTGCGGTAGCTGGACGTGTCACAGTCTACGTGTATGCTAGTCTTGTCTGCTTGACCGGAACTCAGAAACGGTCTGAGAGTGGATGTGCACACGGCGGGGCGTCTGGAGCGGAAAGCTGTGCCGCAGGACTACTGCTGGGGCTCTTCCCCAGCACGCCCTAATCACCGGGCTGGGGCCGACTTCTGTCTTTCTTACATCCCGCCCTCTAACTTAAAATCTAGCTTTTCAGGCTGGCGCCGCGGCTCACTAGGCTAATCCTCCACCCTGCGGCGCCGGCACACCGGGTTCTAGTCCCGGTCAGGGCGCCAGATTCTGTTCTGGTTGCCCCTCTTCCAGGCCAGCTCTCTGCTGTGGCCCGGGAGTGCAGTGGAGGATGGCCCAAGTGCTTGGGCCCTGCACCCCATGGGAGACCAGGAGAAGTACCTGGCTCCTGCCATCGAATCAGCGCGGTGCCCCAGCCGCAGCGCGCTGGCCGCGCCGGCCATTGGAGGGTGAACCAACGGCAAAGGAAGACCTTTCTCTCTGTCTCTCTCTCACTGTCCACTCTGCCTGTCAAAAAATAAAATAAAAAAAATCTAGCTTTTCAAAATAACTGATCCAAAAATCCCATTTCTTTGAACATGTAATGACAAGTCACTCTCCCTTTACCTTCCTGCCGAAAGTACTAAATAAACTTTCGGAGGAAGGGGTTTGTACAGTGAGAGTACTGCTGATACTGCTAGTTCTACAATATCCAGCAATACAGCCCAGGACAGATAAACACCATACAATTTTACTGAGATCAGGAGCAAGTAACTTTTTCCCTTTTTTGTGCCCAAATGAAGGAACTAATGCCTGCACTCACTGGATTCAAGGCCAGGGGAATCCAGTTTCTGAATGACTGTTTCCTAATATATCTGTCTCTCTTTGCGACTACAGAATGTGAGACCAGGACCCTGCACAAATTAATTGCATAAAAGCATTCCTCCGACCTTATTCTACTGGAGATGCAAACTCTTTAGAGTGGAAAAAGAAAAAAAAAAGCAGTTCCTAATTATGGGACAACGTTAAGGAGAAGGAAGCTTAAGGCCCATCTCTGAAAGTCTCCTCTCCCAGAATACCACACAGAACTCTCGCATCACAATGGCAACCAGGGCCAGTGGGTAGCAGGAGAAGGGAGAGAGAACCCTGCACTCTATCAGCAGGCAAAGCCCCCTGTCTGTGGACCAGGCTTTCTAGCAGCTCTTCTATGACAGAATGATGGGCTGAAAAGCTACACATAAGCTATTACTCAAGTGCTCATACGATGCCAAACACAAGAGATGACTTCAAACAGCTGGCAAAAGCCAAGAACAAGGCTGGCTTTTTGATGGTATGCCTTTTACAATCCTCATATCTGACAGTCCTCCTTCCCTGTCAGTTCACCACAGATTTCTTAAGTGCCCATTCAACATGACGTAGGAAACCAGATAAAAAGACAGGAGGAAGCTGAACATCACTGTGAACACTGAAACAGCAATTTGTGGCAATGGTTCCCAAGAGCGTTGTGTTGATGGGTGTCCCACCTCTGCTCATAGGACACAGAGACGCACCTACAAGATACAGAGATGAGAGGAGGGATGCAGCATGACCTACATATGGCCAGATCTGAAACTGC